AGTGACCAGATTGCTTTTGTCTTCAGGATTTCCCACAGAGGCCCAAGTCAGATGAGGATCAGATGCTCTCAGGCTTTCTCATAAGGTCTTGGTCCCTCCAGGAAAGATTTTGGCCTCAGGAATTTAGGGGTTGGACTTCCCTGGGAGCAGGGCCCAGGAAAGATGCTGGTCTAGAGCAGCTGGTGGTCATGCCACCCAGAGATGCAAAGGGAGATGGGGACGGGGGCAGGCCCCTGGAGACTGCACTGCGGAACTGGGTTCATCTGGATGCAAAGGATCAGAAAGTGGAAAGGTCAGCCCCGGCCCTCCAGGAAAGATGCTTGCTGGTTGTGCAGCCCAGGGAAGCAGAGGGAGGTGAGGGTGAGACCAGGCCCAGAGGGCTCCTGGGGACCACAGAAGGAACTGGGTTGGTCTGGATGCAAATGATCAGGAAGCAGTCGTGGTTCCCCTGGTGTCTGGGGCGCCAAGACAAGGAATGGGACAGGACCCAGGCTAGGTGGAGAGATGGGCAGGAGAGACGGGAGGGTGAACGAGGCTGGGGTAGTCAAAGTGCGGAGGGCATGATCGACTTACCCAGGAGAGAGGCCTGCAGGTCGTGCAGGCCCAGGGAATTGAAAGGAGGTGAGGGTGGGGCCAGGCACAGAGCAACATTGGAATTTTTATTTGTTATTCTGTGGTATCTGGTTAGGGGCATTATCTCCCCATTATAGGGTAACTCCATTTAACCTCTTTTTATAAATGCATGAATATATTTTTTATTTATTATTTTTATTTTATGTGTATGATTGTATTGCCTCCATGTATGTGAGTGTCCCCATGTCATGCAATGCTGCAGAGGTCAGAAGAGGGCATTGGATTCCCCTGGAACTGGAGTTAAGGATGGTTCATAGTCACCATGTGGGTGCTGGGAATTGAACCTGGGTCTTCTGCAAGAGCAGCCAGTACTCTTAACTGCTGAGCCATCTCTTCAGCCCCAATCCATGTATATATTTTAAGAAGCTTCCACAGTAGTAGTTTTTCACATGACGTTTTCAAAAGGCTTTAGTGTTAGTTATTCCTTCCCATACTCCCTCTTCTATCTTGCCTTCCATTAAATGGGGCCATCTACTGCCTTAAAGGTGTATTCAATATTCATTAGTTATATATGGCTATTTGCATTTTAATTAATTGAAAGATGAGACAGTAAGCATATGTTTCTGCTTGCTATGTGTGTTGAGTGAATTTAGGACTAGGAACAAGTAGATAAATGAGGACATTGTTTAGGGACACAAAATTTTAGTAAGCTATTAGTAGCAAAGTTTAAGATAAATGATAGTATTTAAACATACAAAGGAGGTAAAATCAACAAGGGTGGCTAGCAAATGGAACGTCCAGTGAAGAAATGGAAAGAAAAAGATCAAGTGACCAGAAGTTCAGGCCTAGGCAAGCAAATGATGATCCCCTCAGTGGAGACAGAATATTAGGAGGGGAGTCAAGTTGCGGGTTAGATGAAGAGTTTAATTTAGAGACTGAAAAATGGATATTTATGCACAGTCCATGTCTGTTTGTTTGCTTATCTATTTTTGAGGTAGGGTCTCACTCTGTGGTCCAGACTGGCCTCTGATTTGGGACAGCCCTTCTCCTTAACCTTCTGAGCACTGGGATCACATTCCTGGGCTACCATACTCAACTCACACTTCAGCTTTTAAATATCGATGAAGTAAAAGGTATATAAAATCACTATGGCAGTACATATTGCAGAGTAAGAATTCAAGACTCTGAGGTCACCTATATGTAAGAGAATCACACACTCTAGGCAGAGTCTGGATAAAGGAAGATAACCTCAGAGAGAGAGATGATTGCATACAGAGGCTAGAGTTATGAATGAAATGATAAATAATGGTAGATTATTTTCTTAGGCAGGTGTTAAATTTGTTATCAATATTTCACAAATTTGGCTTGTATCACTTTTTTAGGAAATAGCAAATAACTTTTAAAATGATTAAATGCCTTTATGTTTAGGCTCTGTTCATCCATTGCCTTTATATTTTTGTATTAATTTTATCCCACTGTGCACTAGGCACTCTTCTAGGGATGGGTGATATGGGGTTAAATAGAAGTTAGTTTATATTATACTCAGTAAAGGAAAGACATACAATCAGAATACCATGTATAGGGTCTGTGAGTACAAGGAGTGCTGTACACAGGGGCATAGGGGGCTGGAAGATGGAAGTTCATCTCTCCTGCTAGACCATCTTTTTCTTGCCTTGTGTCCACTTGGCCTTCACAACTCCAACCCGCATGGCGTTCTGGAAATTTTCTTTGACTTTCTTATTTATATTACTTAATGCTTTAAGGAAAAATGTGATTCATGTTGGACAATGCATTTCCAAAACAGCCTTAAAAATAGGGAGGAAGGAAAAAAGGAGTCTAAATTACAGAAATAATATATGCTAACATAAGAATTCGAACAATGCAGACAAACATAAGAAGGAGCACAGTCACAAAGGATCCCACCACTTCAATGCAATCATCATTAGCATTTGGTTTCCACCCTTTCCTATATCCCTATAGGTATGCAAATACAAAAGGATGGGTGAAAATAACTTCATATAATTAAGATAGTAATATATATGCTATTTTAGATGTCATTTAAAATAAATTTAAATGTGCTTAATTTCACCTTTAAAAGATTAGCATAAAAAAGAACTTTATAGAAAGGATCTTCACAGGAGGTAGTAATTACTAAGTGATAAGAATTATTAAATGTTCACAAAAATGACATAAAACATTGAGGTTTTAATGACTTTTAAAAGCTATAAGTTTCTATATATTTAACTTTTCAACAGCTTAATATGCTTGCTGTAAGGAATGAGAAATTGATGCTTTCAACTTCTTTTCACCTTCTTTCCCCTCTCCCACTTGTTTCTTAATTGAGAGTGTGTTGTCACATGTGGTTTGTAACATTTAGGTACCTTTCTGTTATCCATATGGTTTGCTTATTCTCAGTTCAATATTTGAATGAATTCCGTTCTAATCATTCTCCTCTCCCTGTTAGGATCTCTGGCTTCTTGATTCACCTCTTGCTTGGCTACTTTTGTCAACAGTTTTCTCAGGAATAGCCAAGGCTGTCTCTGAAATCTTCTGTGCTTGTCTGGGCCTAAATTTGTCATTCTTTCTTTCCCCTGAATTACTGATGTTTGTGCTTTCCATAATAGAATTGTTTTAAACCAGGCTAAACAAACAAAAACAGGTTTACTCTTTTTGGAAATTCTCTCTTAAAATTTCATTTGCATGTGTGTGTGCATGATGGGGCAGAGATCATGTGCCATGGCATGCATATGGAGCTCAGAGACAACTTTGTAGAGCTGTTTCTGTCCTTCTACCAGGGATTGAACCATGTTGTCAGTCTTGTGTGGCAAACACCTTTACCCACAGAGCTAGCTCATTGGCTCTAGTTTACTATTTACTACCATTTTCCTGTTTTTGTTTTTCTTTTTGAGTTAGAGTTGCAGTTTTCAAAGCATATTAGTGAGCTCTGTATACTGTCACTCACTGTACTTGACACATCATTGCTCAGAAGAACCACCACAGCTGTGGAACCCTGATGTGAACTAGAGTTCATAGAGAGTGTTCACTATGCCCCTCTGCTTTCTGTTCTAGAGATCATTGATGACCTTGCCAACCTTGTGGAGAACACAGACGAGAAACTTCGCACCGAAGCGCGGCGCGTGAACTTGGTGGACAGAAAGTCCACTTCCTGTGGTAAGAGGTGGCAATTGCTCTGTCTTGGCCTCTCTGATGACTGTGGGATGCTCTTTTTTGAGTGCTCTATGCTTGCGCTAATCACCATGGAGATTTGGTTGCCCTCTGACATGTAGGCAGTCCCATTTGATGAAGCATTAAATTTGCAAAAAAGATGCTTAAGTTGTATTCAAACACAATGTGTTGCTCAGAGTTCAGGGGGTATAATATCATTCAGTTTTTAAAATTTGAGATGGGAACTGCTCTGTTTATAGAAATGAAAGGTTTGCAAAATTGTATAACAATGTGCAATTTGGTGGTAGGTCTTGTACGTTTTAAAGGCAGTCTTGTTTCCTTTGCGTCTTAAAAACAAAAAACAAAAAAAAAAAGCCCATAAGCTTAATTAGTGAACCCACTGTAGAGCAGTTTAGATCCTGTAGCGTGACCAAGTAAAAATCCAAGTTGCTTTGCTCCTTGATGCATGTAAAGTGGAGACTCATATATCAATAAAAAAATCAATTTGAGGACTTAGAACACTGATTTCCAGGTCTTCAACTAGAGGTTCTCATTGAGTGGGCCTAGGTTATAGTTCAAGAGTGCTCAGTGTTCCTTAAGGGTGCCTCAAGATTCTGATGCAGGTACTGGGTATTCTGCAGTAATTCTGGTGTAGTCTTTTTTATGAGGTTAAATTGATCTCACCCTTGCAGAGCCTTGACTAAAGGTAAGTAGCAAGAAACAGTGGTGACAGTTGTAGAGCTCACCTGATTTTTATTTGGTGTTTCATCTCACAAAGGTGCACTAGATTTATGAAGCTAAGATGCTTATTAGCAAAACGTATCTAGCCCATCTCTGAAAGTCCCCAAAGTCTTAACATTACTAATGCCTAAAAACACAAGTTCAAAGCCTGCCTCTGTTAGGGTCCGTGACTCGATGGGTCCCCTCCAGGTAACAAATACACGGGATTGGAGATGTAAAAATCAAGCAGAGTCTTTACTTTCCAGCTAGCTGGGGTCGACCGGCTTCCCAAGACATGCAAGTCTGGTCAGAACGATCGACCCCCATTCAGTTTCAGGTACAGATTATATAGGCTCACATAGTCATTACACAAAAAGCATTCCTCAGCATACACTTTGATCAAACATCTTCTAAAAGCTATAGTTTTGGTTAAACATCTTTTCCAGGAAGGGTAGATCTGGTGTAAGCCTGGTGCAACTTCCTTCTCTTTGTTCCTTATCGGTTATCTGGTATGTGCAAACAGGCCTACAGGACACATTGTAAATCAACTGAGTCTGGGGTCCAGGGTCCAGGAAGGAGGTTTACAGCACTTCAATTCTTAGCATTTCAACTAGGTTAATCATCCATGTGTGGTAGATACAAATCAGGCAGAACAGGCAAGCTTAGCAAGTAAATCTAAATCAACATTTTAAACAGAGTTTTCTATCAAAATGCAGAGTTCTTACAGCATTCATCAAGGTATTTCATTTTTTTTCCCAACATCCCCCCCTTGTCTTGGTTAAACTGAGGAATCTTCCTCAGCTGACTCTACAACCTGGTGCTTCTGCCGCAGCACCAGGAGATGAACCGAGTCTATTCTTTCTTGGACAAACCTCAGCCGTCTGTTTACTATACAGGGCCCAATCGTGACAAGCAAGAGGAGGATAATCAAGGGCCCTACAACAGTGGAGAGAAGGGTTGACACCCAAGGAGTTTGATTAAGCCAAGAGCTGAACCACCCTTGACTGGCTTCCCTTTCCATCTTTCGTTTCTCTAATCCCTCTCGTATCTTTGCCATGTTATCCTTTATTATACCTGAATGGTCTCTGTAAAAACAACATTCCTCCTTCAGGGCAATACACAGTCCCCCTTGCTGTAGAAACAGGAGGTTCAGCCCTCTGCGATTCTGTAACGTGATTTCAGCCAGGGATCCTATAGAGTCCTGCAGTTTGGTTATGGATTCTTCTATTCTTTGTAGATCTAAATCCAGGCTAGTGCGCAAAGCATTATATTGGTCCCTCCCTTGTATCAGGGCAGTGGCTCCAGTGCCAACTCCTGCTGCTACACCTGTACTAATTAAGGTTGCAAGTGTCACGGCTAAAAGCACTGGGGTTCTCTTAGAACGCATCGGGAAAGGAAGAGAGGGAGTGTAAGTCTGCAGAAACTCTTCCTCTGAGTGATAAACCAAATGGGGAAGAAGAATTGTAAGAACACAAAAACCTCCTTCCTTAAGAACATCCACCGAAATACAAGGGGTTAATCCTGAGGAGCATGCCCACCAAGTATTTGGAGGGGGAATAAGGAAGGCCCCTCTTGACTCAGAGAGATTCTTGGTCTGGTTACAGAGGGAAGAGTATTGTAGTGGAATCTCACCGAGGCATAGTCCCGATCCTGAAATCTGCTCCAAAGTAATTTTAGGTATCGTACCCCATGCACATTGGGAGACATTATGGGAAATGTTGTAGGAACCCATAGTAGCAATCCCCTCTAAATAGGGAGGGGTAACAGTATAGCAGAGCCAACAAGATCTGGCCAATTCAGGGCTAGTTGCATTTAAGAGGCTATAAGTTTGATTTATGATTTTAACAAATTCCTGTGACCGCCTGTAATAGCGAATCTGGGACAAAGGCTTAGGAGGCCTTTTGGTAAATCCTGTAGGTAGAGTTGGGCCAGGAGGAGGAGAGGGAGGGGCTCCCTTGGGCGTATCCATGGTAACTCTTGGGACTAGCACTGGGTTGGGCCCTACTGCCGTGATAAAAGGCACCTGGCGTCTAGTGATTGTAAGATTGTAAACAAGATTGCAGACCCATAGTTATGCAATCGCAGGCCCCATGTATTAACCCCTTCCCATCCGGAGAACTTTTTTCCTTTTTCTGTGAATCTGATAAGCAAAGGGTTGCAGGCTTGTGGTTCGAGCCCCCAAGTTGGCTTACAAGGGGGGCCTGTCACATCTCGTTTGAGGGTGATGTAGTCCCCACGGGCATTACTTAACCAGTATGTCTGACCCGTGGTCTCACAGCCCCATCGTGGGCAGTAGTACTGGTCTGGTCTCCCACAACTGGGCTTATACTGTGGCCCTGGGCAAACATAGAATTGTTTTTGTCTAAGGTAGCGAACTCCCGACTCAAACTTGCAATTGTATCCGTAGGAGGAGTCTTCCACATCTCGGGTAATCGCTACCCATTCCCGGTCCCAGGCCCCGTCTACCAAAGTACAGAGGTCCATATCTAAAGGTGGCCACCAGGTATTGGGGGGATACACGGCCGACCGCGTTAACACTGGGGACCCAGTTTCCAAGTTAGTGACAACCCAAGTAACTTGCACTGGTATGTGCGGGTTGGTCCCATCTGCAAAATGTCCACAGTTAGTTGCTAAATAATATATTACCAGCAGCATCCTCACCCATCCAGTCTGCGTGGAGAGCTTCATAAGGGAGTCTCAGTGGCGGCAGGGATGCTTGGCAAGTCCTGAGACAGCGCAGGGTAGAAATCCTCTCAAG